CTGCCATGTGGGTGCTGGGACTCGAACCCAGGTCCTCTGCAAGAGCAGTCAGTGCTCTTAACTGCTGAGCCATCTCTCCAGCCCCAGGAACCTTGTTTAAGCTATTACATCAAATTAATAAGCATTTAGCACCTGCTGTATGCAAAAATGTAGGCAAATGTTTTATCTGCATCCCCAAAATTTTAGGGTTTTTTAATTGAATGTGGAATTTCTTTCGCCTTTTAGCCCTGAAAGTTTGTCTTGAGACCAAATTTCACTGTTGCTCAAGTCTGCCTTGAGCTTCTGGGCTCAAGTGATCCTCTAACCTCACTCCCAAGTAGCCAGGACTACTAATGAGCCTGGCTCAAACTTCTATTAGTAAGATCACCTTTGTACCTATTCCCTCTTGAAAGAATGCTCACACATAATGAAACCTTCTAAGCCAGCAACCCAAAGGTAAAATCCAATATTCTATGCAACGCAGACTTTTTCAACAGTTCTAGCAGGTTACTTCATTCAGCTTCTGTTAAACTGTTTTCAGACAGCTCATTTCCCTTAGAACTGATGTTTACAAATTCCTTGTTAATGGAAATCCACTATTTTTGGTCATCTTAGTTTTACTCTAACTCCTAATTCAGAGCCTTTCAAAATCTTTGACAACTCCACAAAAATTTTTATGGTCTCTTTTTAATATGGAACATGACTTCTAGACTCTTAACACTTATCAAAAAAAGGATGTTAGACCACTAATGGTCCTAAATGCTGTAACACAATTGACTGTTACCTCCAGTAGAAACCAAGTTACTTCCCCAAATGTAAGCTGTGCTCATTAAAGACTCCTCTACACTAGGCCTTATGGTGCAGGACTGTAATCCCAGCCACCTGGGAAGCTGAGGCAAGCGATTACAAGTTATAGGCTTACTACATAGCCAGTTTGAGGCCACTCTGGGCAATTTACCAAGGCTGTCTCAAAAAAATGCTTTTAAGTGGGGGAGATGAATTGGAAAGTAAAGTTCAGTGGTAGAGCATGCCTAGCATGTTAGGTCCTAGATTCAGTTACCCACTGGCAGCAGCAGTCTGTGAACCTTCTTGGATGAAGAGGCCCTATTTGTAAAGTATATATTGTCCCACAGGCACCTTTGGTTACCTTGGATACTGTCAGAACTCTGAAATAGATGGATTCTCACTTCAGAAATTTATCTGCATATTTCCTCTTTGATCAAGATTGATCAGAGCATCTGAAGATTTAATGCATTTGTTCTTTTTAAGTGCAATTTGGATTTAAAGGTCTTTTTTTGTTTTTTTTTGAGACAGTGTCTCCTTGCCCCACTGGCCTGGAGCTGACTATAGACCAGACTGGCTTCCATCTCACAGAGACTTGCCTGCCTGCCTCTTCCTCAGCCTCAGCCTCCTGAGTGCTGGGACTAAAGGTGTGCACAACCATGCCTGGCTTAAGTGCAATTTGGAATAATTTTTCTTAGAAAAAAATATTGATAACTTGTAGATACCTTACTAAGGAGTCCTTGGTGCACTAATGTTGCTGGCAAGTTCCATCTTTGTAAATGTTAATCTATTTTAAGTACTTGGGATGTGGTCTGGTACATGGTGGATGTTATATGCAGTGACATCACTATTATATGAAGAACATCTGAGTGATGGGTATCCTTACAAAATGTGCATAAAAGTTCTCAGCTTGTCCTTTAAAAAGTTTTTTTTCAATCATTAGAAAGTCAGTGTCCTTACCTGAGCTACCGTTACATATATATGTATATATATACATATATATGTGTACATGTTTATATACATACATATATATATGAAGACTTGACCTGGTAAGTCTTTACCATTGTCACACAGCTTTTCCCAGCAGCTGTCATCTTTTATTCTGGGCACATTTTCTGGGTTTATGACATCACTTTATATTCTGAGTTTTCCACTTTGTCCAAAAAGTTCCCATATAGCAACAGATGTCTCATCTCTTCAAAAATTATTCAAAAAATAGCTTGATTCAAAATAAGACTATTTCCTATTTCATTCTTTCAAAATAGACTTTTGGGTAAGACACTCTTAGTGTTCCTATCTATCACACCTAAAGGTCTCTGCCAGAGGCCTCTCTAGCACTATGCAATTCGTGCTTCAAAACCCCTAGTACACACCACTCCCAATGTTAGGCACCATTCTCCACCAAACCTGGAGAAATTGTGCTGCTAATCAGTGTCCCTTCCAACCTGGTTCCTGAGGCCATTACACCTGAAAAATTAAATTATTGTTTTACTGCCATTATTTTATTATAGTTGTGTTCCAGAAGGGAATCATAAATAAAATTGCAATGTGGTACTGTGATAAGGAAGTAATAATTAGCATTAATAAGATTTGGTGGTTGTTTATTCCTCCCCCGAAGTCTGGTGTACTTACAACAAAAGTCAAAGACTTTTTGAGACAAGGTCTCCCTGTAGCCCCAGCTGACCTGGAACTCACTATGTAGACCAGGCTGGCCTTGAACTCATAAGAGATTCACCTGCCTTTTGCCTCCCAAGTGCTGGTATTAAAGGTGTGCGCCACCACACCTGGCTCAAAGCAATTTAATTGGTATTCTGTTAATTTTAAAGCAAAAGTCTATCAAAAATGCATCAAGTATTTCTTGTTCTGTTTTGTTTGAGATGGGGTCTATGTAGCCTTGGCTGGCCTAGAACTTGCTAATGTAGACCAGGCGGACCTCTCTCAACAAAGATCTACCTGCCTCTGCCTCCCAAGTGGTATGATTAAAGGTGTGGGCCATCCTACTCAGCTCCTATTTCTAATTCTTACTTGTTAAAAGACTATTGTATAAATTTATGACCAACATTAAAAAATCATTGTTTAGAAAAGATTGTTAACAAGTGAAAATGAAACAGCAATCCCAGTTATTTTGTTTTAGTAATAAAAAGCTCCTTTTGATCAAATTGTCTTCCTTTTAGTCTGTGTGTGTGTGTCCCTGGTCCCATTCCCCTCTCCCCCCTGCCCCCAGCTTAACTAATATCCCCTCCTCATGGCAAATTACCATTCATTATTTAGGTGTCATCAATCCGTTAAGCAGAAGAGAGATAAAAATTTTAGTGTGGGGGCTGGAGAGATGGCTCAGCAGTTAAAAGCACTGACTGCTCTTGCAGAGGACCCGGGTTCAATTCCCAGTGCCCACATGGCAACTACGAACTGTTCTTAACTTCAGTTCCAGGGGAATCCGAAGCCCTCATTTGACCTCCAAGGCATTGCATGACACGGGTACACTCACGTACATGCAGGCAATACACTCATACACATAAAATTAAAATATTTTTAAAAAAATTCTAGTGTGTAAATTTATTAAATCTTGGAAATACAAGTGAAGACCATTAGACAGGATGCTCTTCATCATGATCTCCAGAAAAGGAGCACTCACTTGCTGGCGAAGGCCATAATCTGTTCCTAGAGGAAAGGGAAATGAAGTAATACTCTTGTCATTGTAAGGTGGAAGGGCAGGTAAAGAAAATACTTAAAATGAAATATCCAAGGTGATTAAGGCAAAATCAGATATTCCTCTCAAGAGCCTTGCTTTATTTCAGCTCTAAGAAATAGCTACAGTTGGGCATGGGTGGTGCACACCTTTAATCCCAGCACTCAGGAGGCAGAAGGTGGACAGCTCTCTGTGAGAGACCAAGGTCAACCTGGTCTCCATGGCAAATTCCAGGCCAGTTGGGGCTACAGGGAGACCCTCTCAAAAAAACAAAAGAAAATAGCTGCAAGGCCTGCAAGATGGCTCAGTGGGTAAAAACCACTTGCCTTGTGCCTGGCAAGCCTGTCATCCTGAGTTCAAGCCCTAGAGTCCATTGTGGAAAGAGAAAACTCCCCAATGTTATCTCCTGACCTCCACATGGCCTAACTCTAGCCCTAGGAGATCCAACACCCTCTTCTGGTCTCCACATACACTGTACTCACACACATTTTCACAAATCTTAAAAAACAGAAAATAGTATTTTTAAATAGAAATGCCCAGGGGAAAAGCCAGGCAAGCAGCAAAAGTAGTTTTAAGATCTATTTAGGTCAATTTAAGTACCTAGGCTGACCCTGAACTCACTGTATAGCCAAGGATGACCTTGGACTCCTCAGTCTCCTGCCTTCACCTCCTAAGTGAGGAAATGACAGGAGTGTGTCACCATGCCCAGTTCTATTCTTTTTCAACTTTTAAAAAAAGATTTAGGTCCCTTTTCAGCTACCATGTTGGTGCTGGGAATCAAACCCAGGTCCTCTAGAAGAACAGCAAGTGTTCTTGAACGCTGAGCCATCGCTCCAGCCCCATCAACTATTATTTAAAGACTTATTTTGTGGGTATGAGTATTTTGCCTATATGTATCTGTGCACCACATGCATGCAGTACCTGCAGAGGCCAGAAAAAGGTGTTAAGATTCCTTGGAACTGTAAATAGTGATAGTTATGAGCCATCATGTGAGTGCTGGGAACTAAACCCAGGTCCTCTGCAAAAGGAGCAAGTCCTCAACCACTGAGCCACCTCTATAGTCCCAATTTATTTTACTTTTATTTATGTGTATGTGTCTATGGTGTGTATGTGGGTGCCCAGAGTGGCTGGAAGAGGTGTTGGATCCCTTGGAGCTGGAGTTACAGGCTGTCATAAACCATCTGACATGAGTGCTGGGAATTAAACTCTGCCAAGAGCAGAAAGCACTCTTCACTGAGCCATCTCTCCAGTCCCATATGCTTAACCCTTCGCTACATACTTCAAGTTGTTACTACACCAACACCAGCAAGCCCAGCAGGTTACTCTTGCCATAATCAGGAAGGTAAACAATAGTATAACAATAAAATTCAAAGAAACTTAGAATTTTAACTTAGAATTTTAGCAGTCCTTCCTCAGGGAGCAAAAATCTTGGAGCTCTGAGTGGCCGCTTACCTTGAGAGGAGACACTGCATTAGTGGCCTGCAATCCCCACGTCCTGAGTAGCACCGGTGGCATGGCACTGGTCGAATAGAGCCTTTTCAGTATGTCAGTAGCAACCAGAAGAGCAGTATTATGACGCTGTCTGTCTGTTTCATAACCTGTGAGGTGGCTCATGGAGCCTGAAGTTAAAGAGGAAAGGTTAAATCCTTTAAATCCTTATTCATTCCTCTCCCTCCCAACATTAAATCTACAGTATCTTGCTGCTGAGGACCATGTGGCAGCTCTGATCTTTAACTACATGGCCTCAGGGTATCTGAATTCTTACCTAAGTCCTTCCCATTGAAGGCTGCAGTACTGAGATGATGGACCAAGCTGGAGATATCCCCAAAGCCCATGTTGACACCTTGTCCCGCTAGTGGATGGACTCTGTGGGCTGCATCCCTAAGAATAAAGCAACATTCAAGTGAGGCTTCTAGCAACACAGTGAGAAGCGTGGCCCTGCTCCATTTACTGCCTTACCCAATAAGTGCTACTCGAGGACGGACGTACTCAACAGCATGTCCTAGCCCCAGAGGAAAGCGTGCTCTGCTCTTGGCATCCACCCTGGCAATACTTGGGGGTAGCTGGCGAGCTGAGACCTTTGTGGGCTTCAGAAGGGCGACAACATAGTGCAACATGGTGCTAGCTGAGTCGATGAAGTCTGTGTGGTTTGCATCACTCCACTGCACACCATCAGTCATAAAACAGTGAAATTTGATTAGTGACTAATGTCAACAAAATTCACCAACGAACTCCTTTTTATTTATTTATTTATTATTTATTATTAATGAGACAGGGTTTCCCCATAGCCCCAGCTGGCCTGGAACTTACCATGTAGACCAGGCTGGCCTTGAACTCACAGAGATCTGAGGCCTCTGCCTCCCGAATGCCGGGATTAAAGATTGGTGCCACCATGCCCAGCAGGAACTCCTTTTTATTTTTCTTTTAAAAAATATTCTATTTAGGGGGCTGGTCAGCTGGGCAAACAAACAAACAAACAAACAAACAAAAATACTCTATTTAGGGGCTGGAGAGATGGCTCAGTGGTTAAGAGCACTGACTGTTCTTGCAGAAGATCCAGGCTCGATTCCCAGCAGCCACATGGGAGTGATTGTGGAATGTTTACTTGTAAATATGCAGATTATATTTCTAGGGACAAGCCTATCACATTTACTCAGTACCAGATGCCTCTCTTCTGGAAGAAGATGGTGTGGGAAATCCTTCATCAGCAGTTGCTGTGACAATTATCCCGCCTGGTCCTTCTAGCTGCTGATGGTTCTTTCATGGATGTTTCCATATACCTCATGCATTGTGGGTTAAAAAGTCCCCAAATCATTTTCTCACAGGTACTGAGCTGTCAAAAGTGCATGAAGGCCTCTCCACTGTAGCTCTGACTTGAGGTGTGAAGGGGCTGCTTGCAACCCTGTTTGTAAGGCTGTGCCTGCTCAGAGCCTTGAACTGTTCAACCCATGCAAGAACAAATGCTAACTAATATTTTTTGTTTTAAAGAGTTATTTCCTTTTTTTTTCGGTCTTTTTGAGACAGGGTCTCCCTGTAGCCCCAGCTGTCCTGGAACTCACTATGTAGAGCAGGCTGGCCTTGAACTCACAGAGATCTGCCTGCCTCTTCCTCCCGAATGCTGGGATTAAAGGCGTGTGCCACCACGCCCGGCCACTGCTCTTTTATAATTAACTATAAATTACTTATTTGAATTATTTATTTCTGAAAGGAATGTTAATCAAACTGCCTCTCCCTGCTGCAGGGAGCTGGAACTGCCATTTAAGGTTCTCTTTGGAGGCTTGAAAATGCCAGAAGAAATGAGAGATGATGTCTTGTAGGGATCTGGCTGCCTTCCAGAGGAAGTCTGCCGATATAACACAGACTCAGTTCATAGAAAAGCAGGAATGTGGCCAGAACCTGGTCCATATCAGCAGAACTGTGTCATGGTGATCTTAAAGAGACTTCCCTTCCTAGCACTGATGTAACCTGGCTTACTTTTAAAACTGGATTCATACCCTAGATGTTTCACCCCAGGTCTGGTTGAGTATAAACCTCAGAATTGTAAAGGGCTGGCCTGAGCTGTTTCTGAAGAGACTCCTCAATTTAAACCTATTTTTCCTCAAAAGTTTCTTTGTCTATATATTAAGCTGAAATTAAGTTCTTTTCTCATTAGCATGCCCCACTCCAGTCCCACCGAAAACTGTTGAGGAAGATTTGGCTCTGAGGTTGCCAGTTTTACAGTAATCTAGTTTGGATATGAAAGTTTGTATTTAACTTTTTTGTTCATTAAAAATCTTACAGATGTGAAAAAAAAATTCTATTTAGAGGCTGGAGAGATAGCTCAGCAGTTAAGAGCACTGACTGCTCTTGCAAAGGACCCAGGTTCGATTCCCAGCACCCACATGGCAGCTATGAACCATCCTTAACTCCAAAGCCTGTCTGACCTCTGCGGCATTGCACGACACGGGTGCAACTCACATACATGCAGGCAATACACTCATACACAGAAAATAAAAAATAAAATATTAAAAGAACTGAGTTAGGCTATTTGTTCAGGTGATTATAATGTTGGCATGATAACACTGCAAGGAAGAACCCAGTGCTGCTCTTCCTAATGAGACTCCTGCCCTCTCCCATCCCTTGAGGGTGATGGGGATGCATCTTTCATGGAAGGTATGTAGCAAGAGCTTCTAGCTGGAAACCCTGAGCCTCTGTAGAATGTCTTGGTGGCTCCCATAGCACTGTACAGTAACCTTGTACCTCTGGTTTTCTGTGCTAGAGTGTGTGTGTGTGTGTGTGTGTGTGTATCACAGGTACATTTATCTCTACATTATTTCTGCATGTATGTATGAATTCACATTAAAATTTCCAGTTTCAACCCACTACCACAGAGTTCATTCCATTGTTCTCTATTTCACATGCAGATCTCTCATCTTGAGAAAGGGAGATCAGAAGAGGGCATCGGATTCCCCTGGAAGTGGAGTTAAGGACAGTTTGTAGCTGCCATATGGGTGCTGGGAATCAAACCCAGGTACTCTGCAAGAACTCTTAACTACTCTTAACTACTAAGCCATCTTTCCAGTCCCAGAAAGTCTTTTATAACCAAGCTAAGGGTAATGCTACCTAACATGCCTAACTGATCTTGTCCATGAGTGATAAGCCCCTTGAAATGTGCAAAACTCAATTTCCTAGCATTCACCACAGGTTTTAGGATCATGCCAAACTGCTCCTGGGCTGGCCCCTGCCCACTTCTGAACTTTACCATTCACAAGTCCCCACTAACCATACACCAGCTACAGTGAAGCTCATCCTATGGTATCCTTCTACCTCCTAGATTAGATTAAGTTTAGAATGTTCTCATAACATCTCAGAGCATCCAGATGTCCCTTCAAACCTTCCTGTGTTCGCACAGCATCCTATGCAAACGTATATTGCTATACTGGGACAGTCATTCTCCATTACTTGATGGTAAGTTTCCTAAAGGCAGGGACCAGCTCAGCTGTCTCTTGTCTCTAGCGGCTGCTACCTAGAAGGCACTATCACAGAGGCGCCAGGCCTGTGCCAGGATACAACTAAATGATCCAGAGAGAGCAGCACTCACCATTTATCTTGGAATCTAGCTCAGCACATTCAGTTCCTTTTATTCTTATTTCTACCACACAGCAGCAGAATTTAAACTATTCATATAAAATTCTTATGAAAGTAGTGGGGCTTAGCTAAGAACACAATCTCTAAGGGCCAGTTTAATTTTGAACCCAGCTTTGACACTAGGTCTATGACCTCAGAGAATTACAACTCTCTAATGAGGATAATTCTAGTACCTACCTCAAAGGCCTGCTGAGCTAAATACTTATAGAACTTAATCCACAAATGGTAAGCACTCAATACATGTTACCAGTTATTACTACTAGTGAATATGGATAAATATGGAATGTAAGCTTCTAAGAGTAATGGTGCCTATATTATCTATCATGTTTTCCTGAGGTTCTGTTTGCTTTTCTTCTATGTTTTATTTGAGACAGGATCTCACTAGGCTATTGTACAGGCTGGCCTGGAGCTCATGTGTAGCCTAGGCTAGCCTTCAACTCATGATCTTCCTGCCTCACCCTCTGGAGTGCTGAGATTACAGGTGTGAGCCACCAGACCTGGAACCATTTGTTGAGTACCTACAATGTACTATCTTTCAAGCATTTTACATAAATCCTCTCATTTAATTTTTGTGTATAATTTTATTACATTTATTTGTTTGGTGTGTACATGGAGGTCAGAGGACAAATTGCAAGAGTTGCTTCTCTTCTTCTACCATGCAGGTTCTGGGGCTCGAGCTCAGGTAGTCAGGCTTGGCAGCAAGCACCTTTACCTAATGAGCTACTTTGCTGGTCCTATATATATATATATATATATATGTGATAGGTAAAAGCTCTCCCAATGAGCTATACCCTCAGTCCAATTCTCTCATTTTAAACATCTACTTCCACTTCTCAGATTAACAGGTAGAACCAATATTGAATCCATGTGTGGCTACGAAGTTTACTTTTCAGTTCTAGGCTGAACAGCCCTCCTTATGAACATGTCTAATGAATCAGGTTTCAAAGATTCAGTTACTAGGGGCTGGGCATGGTGGCACAAGCCTTTAATCCCAGTACTCAGGAGGCAGAGGCAGGCAGATTTCTGTAGATCAAGGCTAGTCTGCTCTACATAGTGAGTTCCAGGACCCTATCTCAAAAAGACCAACAAAACAAAAAACAAAAAAACAATGCATACACAAAAACAAAAATTTCAGTTGCTGGGATCCAGTAAAATTACTCAAAATTACAGCCCCCCAAAAGGCAATGCTGTCCACTGATGCAGGCCTTTCTAGTAGTATAATAATAACAGCCCCAAACTCCCACTGTTTTACATTTCCCTGTGTGCCCTCCATAGAATCATACCAAGGATCATACCTACAAAGGAGAAGCCGCTTGGTTATGCGTTCCTCCTTACTCAGAACTACCTCCCTTGTCTATTGCTGCACTCCTCATTACACCAGTAGCTGGACAAGTTGATACTCACAAAGGCAGAGTTAATGGAATCTACGAACTCTTCCTCATCCATGCTGACCAGTTCTGCCGCATGGTCATGTGATGTGGACCAAACCAAGGAACTTGAGGTATCTGAGAGCTGTGTCAAAAGAACATCATCGAGGTGTGGTCGCACACACCTGTAATTCCAGCATGCAAGAGGCAGAGGCAGGAGAACTGTTGAGTTTGAGGTGGGCCTGGGGTGCATAGAGTTCCAGGCCAGCCTGAGGTACAGGATGAGACCTTTTTGCAAAAAAAACAACAAAACAAAATACATCTTCTGAACTTGGGCATTTTCAAGCACAAAGGAAACAATGCATGCCTGGGATATACTCCCTTCAAACCAGAAGAAAGGCTGAAAGTAAATAAGGTCCTAAAGAGGAAGCCTGGCTACCTTTGAGCAGACTGGCCAGAGGATGGCTTACCGGGAGCAGAGCAATAGGCCCAGAGGGAAGGAATCTCTGCCAGGCTACATTGTTTTCTGTGGGCTGCAATAGAAGAAGGTTCTTGTGAGGGGTACTGAGTGCTTAGGATGGGGGTCCCCAGATGGTAGCTATAGAGCTTACCTCTGATAAATGCAGAGTAGCCACTACAGCAGACTGGTCATAGTTCCAACTAACATTCTGGATCCCAGCAGCTTGCCGTACTCCTGAGTTGTGCCCATCAGCACCAATCTGCATGGAGACAAGGGCCTGCTAAGTCTGATAGCCACTTCATAAGTCAAACTGCTCGTTTGTCTCTTCCCACTAATTCTGTTACCTGTTACTGTTTTGTCTAATACTAACTGTTAGCAAGTCCCATCTATGGCAGGAAACTATCAAGTTTGTCCCACTCATAGCCCTAGAGGGACAGCCCTATAAAATGGGGCCTCACCCTGAGCTAATGGGACCTAAGTGGATATGTGAACCAAGAGGTACCAGTCATAGCCACAGTCAGGTTCAGCCAGTATCTTGATACATGAGCTGGATAGGAAAGCTCAGCACAGAGCAGGCACTGGGGTTGAATGGTCCTGATGTAAAAGAGAAAGCTACTGAGCAGAAAGATAAATGAGAATTGCAAGGAGATGAAGGACCCTGGAACTCCTGAGAAAAAGACAACCTCAGTTCCCAGCACTCTTGTTCCTGTCCCTGGGAGACCTGGCTATCCTAAGCTAGCCCATGAAATTGCTTCCCATACAGGAGTTAGAAGACCATCTTAAGCTGCCTTGATTAGGTGCTGGTCATTATATAAACAAAGCCTTGTCTAAAGTCCATCTATGGTTTAGATCTGAAATTACAGGCCCTAGAATATAAGTTAATATTTAGACATGCAAGACCCCTGATAATATAAGAATCTTCAACTACCAACAGTTTGGTCTGGAGGGTGCTGCCATCACCTAGGGTAATGTGGACCCAGGGGCTGGAGTCTGCCATGGAAAATGGACCAGGCCAGGTATAGCCAACAGCTTTGCTCCTGTAGAGAACTGTCACTCGATCTGGGAAGGTCAAAAAAGAAGCAAAATATTAGGAAGGTGGGCATAGGGCTGAGGAAAAACTGTAAGTAAACCTAAAGCAAGGTCCCAGGCAGCCATATCCTGTCATTTCTGCCAAACAAAATCAAAAAAGCAAGTGAAAAAGAAAAGGAAAGAAAATTAACTCAAGTAACTGTTATGTCCTGAGAACCACTCACAATGACAGAGCTACAGGGGGCGACTCAATGTAGGAAGTTAAAAGAAAGAAAAAGCAATTAAGTTCTCAGCACATTCTCAGCCAAGGCTCTCTTCTCTCCTGGTTTCACTCTGCATCTGAAAAGGCCCACATACACCTGCAGGGCAGCCAGGGGCAACACCATAGGCTGAAATGCATTACACACTTCCAAAGATTCTCTACCACCAGACACAATTTTATTTTGTGGTTATAAAAATATGTTCTAGGGGCTAGGTATGGTGGTGCACACCTCTCAGCACTAGGGAGGCAGATGCAGATGGATCTCTGTGAGTTCAAGGCCAGCCTGGTCTGAATAGGGAGTTCAGGCCAGCTGAGGCTACAGAGAGCCCCTGTCTCAAAAAGACCAAAAAAATGTTCTACATTGGTTACTGGGTACTAACTTGTAGTCAGATGAGATAAATAAGTTCTAGTGCCTATTGCCCAATACAGTAGCTACAGATAACAATAATGTATTATATATTTCAAAACAGCCTGAAGAGGACTGGGGTATAACTCAGTGTATACACATACACAGCTGAAGACAGATTTTGCAGTGCTGGGAATCCAATCCAGGGCCACAAGTATGCTAGGCAAGAGCTCTACCACTGAGCCATATCCCACGTTATAGAAAAGATTTTGAATGTTCTCACCAAAAAATGAGAACTATTTGAGGAAACAAATACGCTTACTTAGATTTGAATACCATACAATATATGCAAATACAGAAACAGTACATGATACCCCACAAACATTTACAATTCTGTATGCAATAGAACAGTCACTCCCAACCCAAAAAAGATTTATTATTTTTATTTATGTATTTGTTTATATGTCTGGCACATGTATGCAGGTGCTCGTAGAGGCCAGAAGGGTACATGATATCCTGAGGTAGAGTTACTTAGAGGTAGGTGCTAGGAAGTTAACTTGTGTCCTCTGAAAAGGCAACAAGAGCTCATAACTACTAAGCTATCACTCTAGCCCCAGTATTCTTTGTTTACATCAAATTGTATACATTAAATATCTATAGCTTTTTGTATGTCAGTCATACCTCAATAAGAGGTTTAAATAATAAACAACTCGCTGTAAAGGTCTGGACAAGAACAGTTAAAGGGGAAACACAAATATAATCACCCAAAATCACATCACCCCAAGATAACTACAGTTAAAGCTTCACTGTACAGTGTCCCAGATGGCTTCCTATGTATGTTTATGTCTGCCCCACCTGCAAGTGGAGTCATGAGACACATAACTTTTCACCACTGTATTATGAAGTTTCTAAAGTGATGAAACATTAGATCTAAATTACTTTTGTTTTATCTATCTATCTATCTATCTATCTATCTATCTATCTATCTATCTATCTATCTATCTATCTATCTGTCAATCATCTTGTGGTGATCATGATGGAACCCAAGGCCTCACACTAAGCAAATCTGATTTGCTATACCACCAGTCCAAAATTATTTGTAAAAGTTAGATGGTGGCCCATTACTTTGATGTACTGTGCCCCATATTAAAAAGCCACATAAGCTGGACATGGTGGCACATGCCTGTAATCCTGGGCTATATAAGATCCTGTCTCAAGGGGCTGGAGAATGGGCTAGTGGTTAAGAGCCCTGGCTTCTCTTGCAGAGGGGCTGGGTTCAATTCCCTAGTACCCACATGACACCTAACAACTGTCTATAACTCCAGTTCCAGGAGATCCGACACCCTCTTTTGGCCTCCATAGGCACTTCATGACACAGGTACATTTACATGTACATAAAACACTCATACAAATAAAATTAAAAGTTAAAAAAAAAAATCCTGTCTCAAAACACTAAAAGAAAAAAAGTGGGGCTGGAGAGATGGCTCAGCAGTTAAGAGTACTGCACTGATTGCTCTTGCGGAAGACCCAGGTTCGATTCCCAGCACCCACATGGTGGCTAAGAGCCATCCTAACTTCAGTTCCAGGGGAATCTGATGCCTTCTTCTAACCTCCATGGGAAATACACTACACCAGTACAATTCCATATATGTAGGCAATACACTCAAACACATGAAATAAAAAAAATACTTAAAAAGAAAAATGTATTTAAATTGCATCCAATTTTTCTCTCTCTAGAATCCGATATATTAGAAATTCATATATCTTGTAAGTAGTTTATACCCAGAATATATAAAGAACTCCTCTAACTCAAACACACACACAAAAAATCCAGTTTTAAAATGTGCAAAAGGTTTTTTCAATAGACATTTCTCCAAGGCAAATATACAAGTGGTCAAACAAGGCATGAAAAGATGACCAACATTATTTCTCTAGAGAAACAGAATCAAAAGTACAACATGCATACTAAAATGGCTGTAATGTAAAGAAAAATAAGTGCTGAGAAAAATGTGGAGAAACTGAAAACCCTTGAACCGGTGGAAGGGTGAAATGGTGCAACCTCTAAAAACGTTTGGCAATTTCTGAGACTGCTAAAAATAAAATTATTACATGACTAAGCAACTCCACTTCCAAGTGCTCATGGTGGCACACGCCTTTAATCCCAGCATTCAGGAGGTGGAGGCAGGCATGTCTGTGAGATTGAGACCAGCCAGGTCTATACAGTGAGTTCCAGGCCAGAACGAAAACCAAACCAAACCAAAACAACAACAAAAAGTAAGTAGAGAGCTAGGGAAAGACCTGAGCTCTTAAGAGACTGTTTGCCTAGCATCCTCAAGGCCCTAGATTCAATTCCCAGTACTGGAAAAAACAATAAACCACACATCTACATAAAAACCTACACACATAATATTCACAGCACTACTCACAGCTTTAAGTAGAAACCACCCAAATGTCCATCAACTGATGAGATGAATGGGTAAGATTTGGTATGCCTACACAATGCAATATTATTCAGCAATAAAAAGTGATGCATTTACTAATGCATACTACAAAAATAGGCCCAGTAAAAGAGGTCTGACACAGTTTAATACTAATTGTATAATTCCACTTATATGAATTGTTGAAAATAGACAAACCTAGAAAAAGGAAAGCAGACCAGTGGTTGGCAGGGATTCAAGTAAGAATGAAGAAATGATTATAAACAGGGGTGAGGGTGAAGTTTCCTTCTGAGGTTATGGGAATATTCTAAAACAATACCATGGGGTGATGGGTGTACAACTCTCTAAATACACTGAAAGTTACTGAATTATACATTTATTATTTTCCTTTTTTTTTTTTTTTTTTTTTTTTAGACAGGGGTTCCCTTTAGCCCCAGCTGTCCTGGAACTCACTATGTAGACCAGGCTGGCCTCAAACTCACAAAGATCCGCCTGCCTCTGCCTCCCAAGTGCTGGGACTAAAGGCATGCACCACCACGCCCAGCCAAATTACACGTTTTTTTTTAATTTTTATTTTATGTGTATGAATGTAATGCCTGCATGTAGGTAGGTGCACCCTTGTCATGAAGTCAGAAGAGGGAAGAAGTCAGATCCCCTGGAATTGGAGTTATAGACTATTGTTAGCTGCTGTGTGGGTGCTGGTAATTGAACCCAGGTCCTCTGCAAGAGCAGCCAGTGCTCTTAACTGCTGAGCCATCTCTCCAGCCCCAAATTAGACATTTTAAATGGATCAATTTTATGATATATAAGTCGCTTAAATAAAACTGTTTAAAAAATGGGGGCCTGCCAGGCGTGGTGGCGCATGCCTTTAATCCCAGCACTTGGGAGGCAGAGGCAGGCGGATCTCTGTGAGTTCAAGGCCATCTTAGTCTCCATAGTGAGTTCCAGGACAGCTGGGGCTACAGGGAGACCCTGCCTCAAAAAGACCAAAAAAAAAATGGGGGTTAGTTGGGCTTGGTGGCACATGCCTTTCATCTCAGCACTCAGGAGGCAGAGGCAGGCAGACAGATCTTTGTGAGTTCAAAGCCAGCTTGGCCTATGTAGTGAGTTCCAGGCCACCTGGGACTATAAGGAGATCCTGTCTCAAAAAGACCAAAAATGGCCCCTTCCTGCTCTCTCTTTCCAGTGGTAGAGTCTGGAGACAACACGCAGACATGGCACCTGGAAAGGGAAAGGAAAAGAAGGAAGAACAAGTCATCGCCTTGGACCTCAGGTGGCTGAAGGCGAGAAACAAATTTGATGTCTGCCAAATCTTTGCTTCCTTCAATACTTTTGTCCATGTCACTGATCTTTCCAGCAAGAAAACCATCTGCCGAGTTACTGATGGAATAAAAGCGAAGGCTGACCAAGATGAGTCTTCTCCATACACTGCCATGCTGGCTGCCCAGGATGTGGCTCAGAGGTGCAAGGAACTAGGTATCATTGCCCTGCAAATCAAACTCTGGCCACTGGAGGAAACAGGACCAAAACAGCCTGGACCTGGAGCCCAGTCAGCCCTCAGAACTCTTGCCTGCTCAGGGATGAAAATTGGACGGATTAAGGATGTCACTCCCATCCCCTCTGACAGCGCCTGCAGGATGCTGCGAACAGGACTTCTCAGATTATTTTCTGTTAATAAATTGCTTCCTGTAAGCTTTTTCATTAAAAAAAAAAAAAAAAAAAAAAAGGCTAAAGAAAAGTGTGGGGGAGGGGAGCTAGAGAGATGGCTCAGCAGTTAAGAGCAGTGGCTGCTCTTGCAGAGGACCCAGGTTTGATTCCTAGCACTCTAGCACCCACATGGTGGCTAACAGCCATACTAATTCCAGTTACAGGGGGATCCAATGCCCTCTTCTAACTTCAGTGGGCTTTACATGACACCGGTACATTCACATACATGCAGGCAATACACTCATACACGTAAAAACAACCTGCTAAAAAAGAGAGAAAATTAACCCTGAGATAACTATCAGAGGATTTCTTTGCAGTATGCATTCAGTATCTATAAAATGTCTTTCCCTCTAGCAAGAATATAGACAGTACACTTCCCAGAAATAGAGATGGTACCTCACCAGATACGGCCTCCAGCTGCTTAGTAAGAGCATGCATGATGACATCATTTTCCACTATATAGCCCATGTCATCTAACTTATCCTTATCAAACATTATCAAGGCCTCTGAACAGGAATCCCACACCTGCAAACACAAAAGGAAAGTGCATTTTTAAAACTAAGGAAAATGAAACACGATTTCAATCACAAGCTGACTATTACTTCCAAAGTGAGAGGAGCAGAAAACCACAAATGCCAGCCTCTCTGGCAGGATATAAAGTGGTAAGATCCTGACCTGGAAGTGGTGGTGCAAACCTGTGGCCACTTGGGAGGTGGATGCAGGTAGATCAATGTAACAAGTTCAGTGCTAGTCCTTGTCTCAAAAACCCAAATACTGAATTAACTGGTTAGTTAAAAAGTAAGCAGATTCTCAATACAGGCAGGTAAAATGATCACACATAAAAATAAAAAGAAGGTAAAGGAGGCACCTGCATTCGCCTGAAGGCTCTGCATCTCATGTTGCAGATGTGGTCCCACGCACCAAAACCTACAAAAGAAATACCATGACCACATGTGGACTTGAGCTCCTGGGCCCCCTTTTTCTCTCCATCCTGTTAAGAGGTTGTTTTCAGTGTTCTCTAATAACAGAAGGAAAAAAAAAATCTCTGTTGCTATCCTGTTTGCTGTTAGGAGCTAAGCTCTTTTGTTTTCTGGTTCCGTATCATACAGCATGAAAAAAGACCCAAAAGGTCAAATCACATTAAAGCAGGAAAAATTAAAAAAACACTAAACCAGTATCTTTTTCTTATTAGTTATAAACATTCTAAGAACTATTTTAATTTTTTTAACTCTTCATGGCACTAAATAGATCCAGTATGAAGAAATATTTACTGAGCATCAATAATATATACCAGTTATAATTCTAGGTACTGAGCAGACCAAACAAATTTCCTTTTGCACTTTGTATTTTAGTTGGAGAGACAGACAACAAAAAACACACAGTAGTGTCAGATAATAGTGTTATAAAGAAAAACCTATAGGAACTGAGGATGCAGCTACCATTGGAAGACTAATTGCCTATCAAGCAAAATGCCCTGGGTTCAATCTCCAGTACCATATTAAACTGTGTGTGGTAGTACCTCATGCAATCCCAACAGTTGGGAGGTGGAGGCAGAAGGATCAGGAGTTCAAGGTCATCCTTGACTATATAACAAGTTCAATTCTAGGTCCTGTCTTTGAAAAAAAAAAAAGGCCAGGCGTGGTGGCACATGCCTTTAATCCTAGCACTTAGGAGGCAGAGGCAGGCAAATCTCTGTGAATTCAAGGCCAGCCTCATCTACATAGCAAGTTCCAGGCCAGCTGGGGCTACAGGGAGACCCTGTCTCAAAAAGTCCAAAAAAAAAGAAAGCAAGCAGAAAAGTAAGTGAGCTGTAAAGCCATAGTAGACAGAATGGTTTCAGAGAGGATGGCTTGAGGGAGTAACATTTAGTAGACACCTAAAGACAATTGGCTAACTGGTTCATCTACATCCCAAAGGCAGCTAATAAGCATACTCCCCAACTCATTTGAGGGCTGACTTGGAATGGACAGTAAATGTTCACCATTAGCTCCTAGAGATACAGAGAATTAAGCAACAATGCCCTAACATCACAAATGAAGTGTACAAGACAGACTCACATGTCTCAAGGATGTCTTCCCCAGACCAGGACTCAACACATTCAAGGCCAGCCTCATCTACATAGCAAGTTCCAGGCCAGCTGGGGCTACAGGGAGACCATGTCTCAAAAAGTCCAAAAAAAAAGAAAGCAAGCAGAAAAGTAAGTGAGCTGTAAAGCCATAGTAGACAGAATGGTTTCAGAGAGGATGGCTTGAGGGAGTAACATTTAGTAGACACCTAAAGACAATTGGCTAACTGGTTCATCTACATCCCAAAGGCAGCTAATAAGCATACTCCCCAACTCATTTGAGGGCTGACTTGGAATGGACAGTAAATGTTCACCATTAGCTCCTAGAGATACAGAGAATTAAGCAACAATGCCCTAACATCACAAATGAAGTGTACAAGACAGACTCACATGTCTCAAGGATGTCTTCCCCAGACCAGGACTCAACACATTAACAACGTCAGCAATCCTCATCTTCAACTGTGACCCAGACTATCAAGCCCACCTTCCCACTCCCTGCTGTGGGCTTTCTCTCAGGTGCTCTGGTGACTGCCTATGAGATGCACTGGAAAGCTGAGCAGAAAGGAGTAGGGCCCATCAGAGATCTAACTTACTACTGAGGAGAGTTGCTGAACCAGGGGAAATGGAGCTGACTCTGTTGCTGTAAGTTTCTGACAATTTCTCCAGTACCTTCTTTGGACCTGCTTCTAGCAACAAGATTTTCTTGTCATGAAAGTGAATATCATGTCCTAAAAAAGAAAAAAAAAATTTTTTAAATCATTTTAGTAAAGATAAGAATTTAATTATACAGTAGGGAAACTATAAATAACAATAATGTGCTGTATACTTCAGAAAGTTAGAATTTGGAAAGTTTTCATCATAAAGAAATAATAGATGTTTAAGGAAATATATGTTGAACCAGATTTAAAATTATATAACATGCATTTTTCAAAACATTACAAGGTACATTTTGGGGGGGGGGGTTCTTTTTGAGACAGGGTCTCCCTGTAGCCCCAGTTGGCCTGGAATTCACTATGTTGACGAGGCTGGCCTTGAACTCAGAGATCTGCCTACTTCTGTCTCCCGAGTGCTGGGATTAAAGCTGGCAATTTTTGTTTTAAGGCTTTAGTTAGAAACAAATATAAACCAGGTATGGTACCTCATGCCTATAATCCCAGCACCTGGGAGACTAAGGCAGGAGGACTGCCATGAATTGGAGTCCAACCTAGAATACAAAGTGAGAACCTATCTCAAAAAACAAAATAAAAGTAAAATAGCAGTTTATCAATGTGCGATGGTGCATCCCTTTAATCTCATGCAGAGACAGGAGGATCACTGTGTGTTCAAGGCCAGCCTGGTACACCCTGCAACTTCCAGCCAAACTAGGACTAACCAGTAACACCCTGTTTTAAAAAACAAAACAAAACAGAGTAAATACAATCTTAAACCCATGCACCTCTGTCCTTTAAAAAATGATTCACAGAGCCCAATGTGGTAGTGCACACCTTTAATCCCAGCAGAGGCAGAGGCAGGCAGATTTACAGTATAAACGAGAAGAGAGGCACCATTACAAGACATAGGAGGATATTTGAAAATCAGAGTGGCTCCAATGGCACAGGCAGTGAGTGGCACTCAACCCACCAGGGCTCCAAGATCCTTCTTGCTGGGCAGCAGCTCCAGATGAAGGAACCCAGATGTACTTGTTCAGAGGGCATGGCTTTCTGGCCCAACGCCCTATTCCTTAAGCCGTACTCTATAATGCTACCCACTCAAGCACCTCCTAGGTGTAGTGTTTGCACCAGGCTCTGGCCCCCACCAACAGCTTGTTCCTCTAAGGAAGCCTTCCTTTCTTCCTCCTCCTTTGCTACACTGCAAACTCCTTTGGGGCAGGAACCAGTTCTTCCCTTATGGTTATTATTTCCAGCTGCAAATGCTACAAATCCATAAAGTATATACTGTATGCCTGTTAAGACAGACCAGAAAACTAAGAGGAAAAGAATTAAGGATTTCTAAACACATTATAAAATACAGCCATGTTACATATTTTATTTTTTAGTTATTTAATGTAACTTTTTTTTTTTTTTTGGCCTTTTTGAGACAGGGTCTCCCTGTAGTTCCAGCTGTCCTGGAACTGACTATGTAGACCAGGCTGGCCTTGAACTCACAGAGATCCGCCTGTCTCAGCCTCCCAAGTGCTGGGACTACAGGCGTGTGCCACCACGCCCGGCTGTTTTATTTTTTTGAGACAGGATTTTCCCTGTGGTCCCAGCTGGCCTAGAAGTATGCTATATAGACTGGCCTCAATCTCAGAGATCTACCTGTCTCTGTCTCCAGAGTGCTGGGGTTAAAAAGTATGCACAACATGCCTGGCTTGCTGTAACATTTTTTAATTAAAAAAACAAAAACAAACAAAAAAAACCTCAATACTAGAGACTATAACTTATAAATAATACAAGAATCTGGATACAATGGTGCATACACGTGTTCCCAACCACTCTGGAGGTTAAGGCAGGAGGATTGTTTGAGCCCAGAAGTTAGAGGTTCAAATTGAAAAAAAAAAAAAAAAGGGTTTAAATATAGTAGAGAAACTATACAGGAGACCATCCTCAAACTCAAATGTGAAAGGGAAATACAAGCCTGAAACATAAAATAGGTGAGTCTGAAGAATCAAGGAAGACAGAATGGACTTAACAGGAAAAATCAGTAAAAGTCTACTAGAGTCAGGAGTGTCGTCAGTACATGCCCACAATCCCAGCATTCAGAAAGCAGAGGTAAGAGGATCAATTACAGTTCCAGGCCAGTCAGGGCTACCTAGAGGGACCTTGTTTCAAACAAACAAACCAACCAAATAAACAGGAGTTGCAGAGATGATTTAATCATTAAGAGCACTGGCTGCTCTTGCAGAGGACCTAAATTTGGTTCCCAGCACCCACAAGGCAGCTCACAATAAATAGTCTTTTAACTCCAGTTCCAGGTGATCTGATGTCCTCTTCTGGTCTCCACCGGCACTCAAGTGGTACACATACATACACGTAAGCAAAACACTTTATACATTAAAAATAAATAAATCTTGGGGCTGGAGAGATGGCTCAGCGGTTAAGAATGGTGGTTGTTCTTACAGAAGACCCAGGTTCAAATCCCAGCACCCACATGGCAGCTAACAACTGTCTTAACTCCAGTCCCAGGGGATTCGAGAGCCTCTCCTGATCTCTGAGGACATTGCACGACACAGATGCACTTACCTACATGCAGGTAATACAGGCATACACATAAAATAAAAATAATTAAAAAAAAATTTTAAGCTTAAAAAATAAATAAATCTTTTTAAAAAGCCTATTGGAAATTTTAAATTTTTATTTATTTACACTTTTTATTATTTTTATTGGTTTCATGTATTCCAAGCTGGCCTCAAACTCACTATATAGCCAAGAAGGACTTTGAACTTCTGATCCTTTTGCCTCTATCTTCCAAGTGCTGGGAATACAGGAGTTCACCACCGGGCCCAGTTATACTATGATTTTTAGCAGTCACCCCTGACCTTTGTTTTGGTCTTTTTGAGACAGGGTCTCCCTGTAACACTAGCTGGCCTGGAACTCACTATGTAGACCAGGCTGGCCTTGAACTCACAGAGATCCACCTGCCTCTGCCTCTGCCTCCCTAGTGCTAGGATTAAAGGTGTGCGCCACCATGCCCAGCTATCCCTGACTTTTTAAATGTACTGTTCTGTGGAAGAAACAGAAAAGTAAACCATTACAATACAGAATATTGTGCAAACATTTATAAAAGAAAGCATTGCTGTTTTCCTTGTAATATTGAGAAAAAGAACAAGGGGAAAAAAGAAAAAAAAATTCTAACACAAGATACCAAAGCACCAAAATATGAATACTAAAGTTTCAGCAGGGGACAAGAACAGTGGCACATGCCTATGCCACTTTCCAGCACTTGGGAAGCTGAGGCAGAAGAATGGGTTGCCTTGAACAGAATTCCAGGATAGTCTGGATACAGAGTGAAAAGATGCGTTCCATTCTAAGAACTGCCTACAGAAAATATCAACAAAAAGAGCAAAGAAGCTGAATAGGCATTTCTCCAAAGATACACAAATGATAAATATACACATGAGAAAGAATATTCAGCAGGGGACATAGCTTAGTGGTACAGCACTTTCTAGCATGTGCAAGTACCTCGGTTCCACAGTAGGGCAAAAGTAAAGGACAGATGGACTGGTTAGGTAAATTAGTCAGCATGATTAGTCATGAGGAAAATATAAACCAAAACCACACCTCACTGAAGAGGGCTGTAAGTAAGAAGGCAGCAGCAAGTGTTGTGCAGGATCTAGAGAAACTAGAACATTCACATATTCTTCGTGAGAATGTACAGTGGTAGTCTCAAAAACAGTTTGGCAGTTCTTCAAAACAGTTACCATATAACCCAGAAATTCCACTGGTAAGAACACATCCAAGATAACCAAACACATATATCTACACCAAAGCTTGTATACAAAATACTCCTAGAATTATTCATAATAGGTCAAAAGGAAACGACTAAAATATGTATCTATTACATGCTATTAAGAATCAAACAAAATGTGGTGCACACACAACTGAATATTACTCAACTCTCAAAGAGAATGGGGTACTGATACAGTCTACAACATGGATTAACCTTGAAAACATTAAGTAGCTCTCCATCTACATATAATCAAAAAAGACCAATCTATTTTTAAGAGGGGGGGGGGGGGCTCGCTGCCTAGGCCTAAGGAGATGGAGAGAAACGAGTGGTTCTAAAGAATTCCAAGACTTGTTTTGAAGTAAGGAAAAATGTACCTACACTTACTGTAGTGACTGCACAGCTCTGCGAATATACAAAAACCCATTAACCTGTTTGCTTTAAGTTGGAGGGCCTGATGGTCCTTAACAAAGCGGCTTTAAAAAAAACAACCGTGGTGGCACACGCCTTTAAGCCCAGCACTTGGGAGGCAGAGGCAGGCGGATCTTTGTGAGTTCGAGGCCTGCCTGGTCTACATAGTGAGTTCCAGGACAGCTGGGGCTACAGGGAAACCCGGACTCAAAAAGACAAAATAAAAAACAATCGTCCAGTACCACAAGGCCTGAAGCCTTACTCTGCAAAACAACCCTGGGCATTCCCACAGGTACAATAGAGTCAAAGGGCCCCGCCCACTTTTGACCCCGTGGGACTAAAGCGACACGCCCATTCCGAGCAGCGTCTGTCCGTGTCGTCGCCCCCTCCCCCACCCCCGTTAAGCAGCTGGGCCCTTGGACAAACAGCCGCGGCCGCCCGGTCCGCCTTGGTCCCCGTGGTCCGTCACCTGCCCAGTTCCGCACCACCTTCCCCAGAGATGCGCTTACCCAAGGCACAAGCCATGGCAGCGCCCACCAGGCCTCCGCCCGACACCACCACATCGTACACGGTGTCTGCTGATGCGCCCGCCCATCTCCGGCAGGCGGTCAGCGGGCCTCGGGTGAGGGCCGACGGCCCGACACCCCACTGCCGCATGCCCAGCCGGCCAACCAACGAGCCGACCGCGACCATCATGCTGGCCTGCGCCTGCGCCCTCGGCGCTCCGCTACCCTACCCATAGCACTTCCGGGGCAGAGTCCTCCAACCTCGAGCAGCTTCAGCTTCCGCCTCAGAACCAGAAATGAAATGCGCCAAGGTAATAAAGCCAATCAGAAAACGAGTCTTCTCTTCTTGGGCGGGACGGATTGGTCACTGGAAGCCAATCAAAAGCTAAAGTAACGGGGCGTGGCTAGCGCTGTCTTTGCGTCCTGCTCCGCTGTCACCCTCGCTGTCCCCGCCGCTGTCACCGCGGGTTAGGACGATGACTGTGGGGAGGCCTGAGGGAGCCCCCGAGTGCGCCGAGTGGTGCCATGAGGTGAGGAGAGGAAGAAAGGAGGAAGCAGGATTCCTCGGAAAGGAATCCCCACGCGAGGAACCTGTTTGGTGTTGCCTTGGAGACAGACGTCAGGGGCGTGTCATCGTGGGACATAGGATTGAAATTGGCTGTATTTAGACATTAGGAGGCGGAGGGTCCTGGGGATTCGAATCACTGGTGTCTTGTACACGGCTCTTGGGAGAGAAGTATTAAGAAAACGTGGGTTAACCCTGAAAATATTGAAGTAGATCTCTATCTACTTATAGTTATCCAGAAAAGGCAAATCTATAGAGACAGAAAGTAGGCAAGTCATTGCCCAGGGATGAGAGAATGGGGAGAAACGGATATGGCTTCTGAAGGCCTCCAAGTTTTGTTTTGTTTTGTTTTGTTTGTTTTAAGGGTAAGGAAAATGGGAGAGCTGGAGAGATGGCTCAGCTGTTCAAAACACTGGCTGTTCTTGCAGAAGACCCGGGTTCGAATCCCAGCACCCACATGGCAGCTAACAACTGTCCATAACTCCAGTTCCAGGGGATCTGACGCCCTCTTCTGGCCTCCGCGGCCATTGCACGACACGGGTGCACTTACCTACATCCAAGGAATACATGCATACACATAAAATAAAGATAATAAATGAAATTAAAAAAAAAAAAGAGAAAGGGAGATGGGCGGGGGGGCGCACCCCTTTAATCCCAGCATTTGGGAGGCAGAGGCAGGCGGATCTTTGTGAGTTCGAGACCAGCCTGGTCTACATAGTGAGTTCCAGGACAGCTGGGGCTACAAGGAGATCCTGTCTCAAAAAGACAAAAAATAAATAAATAAAAATAAAAAAATAAAAAAGAGTAAGGAAAATGTACTAAAATTTACTGTGGTGATGATTGCACAGTTCCGTGAATATACTTAAACTCATTAAACTGTATGCGTGTATCTCCTCAACACCGTTTTCTAGAAGAGAAAACTAAGGCACAGAAATATTAAGTAATCTGCCTCCAAATCCGAAGAGACAAGACAGAAAGTAGACTGTGGGCGGGGCTTGGTGGCGCATCACTTTAAATCCTAGCACTCGGGAGGCAGAGGCAGGCAGATCTCTGTGAGTTCAAGGCCAGGCTGGTCTACATAGTGAGTTCCAGGCCTTATATCTGCTACTCTAAGGACAACTCATGTCACTGTCCTCCAGCTATACAAGGCTGGGGCTACAGGGAGATCCTGTCTCAAAAAGACCCAAAAAAAGAAGAAGAAAGTAGACTGCTTAGGGCTGGCAGGGTGGGGAAGATTAGGGAAAATTGCAAAGGGCACTGAAAGGGTATAGCAGTTTTTTAGAGAAATGATGAAAATGTCCTAAAATTTATTGTGATAGTTGGACAGCTCTTACTATACTAGAAACTACTGTATTATACACTTAAAACGGGTAAGTTGTATGCCATGGAAATTGTATTTCCATACATTTTTAAAAAGTTAGAGCCAGCATGGTGGCTCACACCTGTAATCCTAGCAACTCAGGAGAGCAATGCATATTCAACATTACCCTTTGACTTTGTCATAACAGAGACAGAAAGAGATAGAGATCGGGGGAAGGAGGAGAGAGGGAGAGATTGAGATCTTCCCTAGATTACATGCTGTTCATCCACAGAGCCGGGGTCGCAGCACATACATACTTTTGACTCAGATGGACTGCCCAAATTGCAGTCCAAATTGCAACTACTTACCATCTATAGTCCCATCCTGGCCTCATATCTGCTACTCTAAGGACATCTCATGTCCCTGTCCTCCAGCCACACAAAGCTGCTTTCTACCACTACAAGATTCAAGATTGTTTCTGGGAAGACCCTGTTGGAAGGCCTTTGTATTTGCTGTTCCTTAAACCCAGAATCCTCTTCCCTCAGATCACAGTAAGGCTGGCTTCCCTCTCCCTGGGACTACAGGGAGATCTTGTCTCAAAAAGACAAACAAAACAATCACTCCATAGGAAGAAAATAAAAATCAACGTATGACTGAAAAACAGGCATTCCTGATTTATGATGGTTCAATGCACCATTTTTGAACCTTTATAATAGTGGAAAGGCAATGTGCACTCAATAGAAACTGTACTTCAGAAATCTTTTGTGACACTGGAGATTGAGCCTAGGGCCCTGCACATGCTAGACAAATATTCTATTATGGAGCTAAAACTCCAACCCCAAATTTTGGTCCTTCTAAAGAGGACTATTATACTTTATCCTGAGTACTGACTGTGAGTTGCAGCTTCCAGTCAGTCACAGAATCACAAGAGTGAATAACTAATATCTTATAGTGTCCTGTGTTGCTAAGCTAGGTGTCCAATAGGTTTGGTGTATTGAATGCATTTCTACTTTCATAATATGGGATTTATAATGGGTTTATCAGGATATAACCCCATCATAAGTCAAGGAGCATCTGTATCACTAACAGACACACCCAAGGTCAGCAGCAAGATCACCAGAAAACGGTGTTTTCCCTGGGTCCATAAAGTAGCTGCAGAAATACTAACACCCCATTCCTCTAAGTGATCATGCTTACTTATCAATTATTTACGCTGCCCTGCTTTTTTCTTCTCACTTTTTCAATAAAAATTTCTCAGCTATCCCCTTTACTAAACTGTTGCTGCTTCATCACAAAACCTGTTCAGAGTTCATCCCTCTTCTCCTAACCTTCTGAATCAGTTGGGACAAGCTGACCCTGAAAATCTGTCCCCACAGGTTTACTATAGTTTTCCATGATGTAATGCAACATATTGATAAAGTTACTCCCGATTACAGGCACATTCCTGGTGACCCCTGATGGGCTGTATCAACAGAAAGGCTTTCCTCAAGTGCACTATCTCTCCATGACCGTACAGTGTCTGTTTTTCTTTCTTTATATTATCCTCTTACATTGTCCACTTGCTCTCCCTGGAGTACAAGCTTCACAAATAGAGACCCTGCCTTGTTTTCCATGCAGCGCACATTGGGCACCCAACCAATATTTTCTATATAAATGCATGAGATGTTGTTGCTTTATGCTTCTGAGGATTAAGGCCAACCCTTGAGCATGCTAGGCAAGGGCTGTACCACTAAGCCCCACTCCCGAACCTTTAAGTATTTAAAATCTGGTTGGGAATGCCACTTTCTATGTTGCTCTTTCACCTAGATACATTGCCTTTCCTGTTAAAGATCCATTCCTGGTAATGGAGTGGAAATTACTTAAGATATGTGAAAAGTAGGGGTATGTATGGGGAACCAGAGAAGATGGGTAGTATGTAAATCCCAAGTAAGCCAGGGTACAGAGTGTAGCCAAGGTCATGGGCAGGATTCCTGGAGCACAGAGAACAGAGTGCATGGTACAGATGAGGTACTTTGCCAGTACTTCGTTGAATGGAGCAGGGAACTAGCTTTAGCTCTCCTGCCACCTTTCCTACCCATAATCAAGCACACACATTGTGAAGTATCTTTGGAGTAAAGAACACATTTTATTTTTCTTTGTTCCTTTCTAGTTCCTAATATACTGAGGCTTGACTGAAGTCAGATTGTCATGTTTTGAATACCTTTGAAATTAAAAGTTTAACTCACAATTCATTTCTATTACACTTTAGATATTTCCCCCCATATCTTCCTCATCAGACACTGAGCCAGAAGATGAGCCATCTGGAGAAGGGCTGGTTTTGCCCAGAGCTGGCAAACTCTACGAGTTCCTCAGCTCAGAGGAGGAGACAGATTCTACTTCTGACTCAAATGAGAGCTTTTATGAGATTCTACAAATTCTAAAACAGAAAGGCAGATGGAATCGGTTGGAGTCCCTCCTTCAGTCTGACCCAAACAGTGATGAGGAGGACTCCAAAGATGAGGAAGACTTGGAACATTTCTTCCAACACAAGAGCAGGAGGAAGCTACAGGCCCAGGACCCTCAGTCTCTGAGGTAAGACACTGAAGGGCATTACCTTCTCTATGTATAAGGCAACTCCCTCAAGTTCCTTATCCAAGATCCAACTCAGAATTAGTTCTTGGGTCCAAATGCATGCTCTGATTTCTACCCAGCAATCCTAAATTACTTTGGGCGATGCTCACTTAGTTCAGTGAAGCACTGGAACTACTAAGGGAGGCCTTTCCCAAACATCCTTCCCCCCAAGAATGACAAGATTAATTGACCAGGGCCAACTCTGTTGTATACATGTATACTTTATCTTTTTTGTTTTTTAAATTATTTTGTTTAATGTATATGTGTGTATTGCCTGTGTGTAGGTAAGTGCACCCGTGTTGTGCAATGCCCGCAGAGGACAGAAAACGCTGTCGGATCCCCTGGAACTGGAGTTACAGACAGTTGTTAGCTACCATGTGGGTGCTGGGATTCAAACCCAGGTCTTCTGCAAGAACAACTAGTGTTCTTAACCACTGAGCCATCTCTCCAGCCCTACTTTATCTTTCTTTAAAATTTTTTTTCTTTATTAATTTTATGTTGTGCGTGTATTGCCTGCATGTAGGTAAGTGCACCCATGTCGTGCAATGCCCGTGGAGGTCAGAAGAGGCTGTTGGATCCCCTGGGACTGGAGTTACAGGCAGTTGTTAGCTGTCATGTGGGTGCTAGGATTCGAACCCAGGTCTTCTGCAAGAACAACCAGTGTTCTTAACCACTGAGCCATCTCTCCGGCCCCACTTTATCTTTTTTTAAAGACAGTCTCATGTAGTCCAGGCTGGCCTTGAACTATCTTCACCTCCCAAGGGCTGGTATTACAGGCATGTGCCACCACACTTGACCTTTATTTCATTTAATATTTAATCCCAATAACCTTATAAATGGATACTATTTTGCCACTCTGTATATAAGGAAACTCAAAACCTCCAGGTCTGAATTGGATCCATCTGACTCTGAGTCTCTGCTTTACCCCACTGCACTATTTCTCTCATATGCAACGATCAGAGTGCAAAGTGCCAACTCCTGCATGAATTATGAGGAGTTCCCATTGGGCTCCAGGATTGCCTATGGGAAGGAAGGAGATCTGGTTGGTAAGGTTAAGGCTTGGAGGCTATTGGGTTTGGATACCAGGGCTGAGAATCCACATAGCTGTGGTGTGCTGGGCAGGGAGGCTGGAGATAGGAATCGGGAGAAGCCAAGCCTCCTGACTGCTCTGTCTACACAAGTTCTGTTTTCACCCAGGTGTGGCTCCACAAGACGCTGCAGCTCCCTGAGCAGCCTTCCAAGCTCTGACATTTCCAGGGCTCAGGCCCTGCCGTCCTCAGACTCTGGGCCTGCCCCCAAGCAGAGAAGTGTCTGCTCCTGGGCATCTTCCATCACCGTCCCTCAGCCATTTCGTATGACACTGCGCGAAGCCCGGAAGAAGGCCCAGTGGCTGGCCTCACCTGCTTCATTTGAGCAGGAGAGGCTGCAGGCACAGAGGCAGGGCCAGGAGGAGGCTGAGTGCCACCGGCAGTTTCGGGCTCAGCCTGTGCCCGCACACGTCTACTTACCACTCTACCAGGAGATCATGGAGCGCAGTGAGGCCCGGAGGCGCACAGGGATCCAGAAGAGGAAGGAACTACTTCTCTCCTCACTGAAGCCCTTCAGCTTCCTGGAGAAGGAAGAGCAGCCGCAAAAGGAAGCTGCTCGGCAGAAAGACTTGGCTGCCATGGCTAAGGCCAAAGTCCCCCAAAAGAAGGCCATCAGAAAGATCCCCAAATCCATTCTGGAGCCAGCCCTTGGGGACAAACTCCAGGGTAAAGATACCTTGCCACTTTGCCTCTGTGCCTCCCCTAGCCTGGGTCTCCAGAGTCCCTGCAGGGACTTAGTCAAGCTTCAGGGTTCACCTGGGCTTGCAGACCAGTTGCCAGGTATACCCACTAGAGGCTGCATGCTCCATGCAGGCAACACAGAGGGTTAGGTCTGTCTAAACAGAAAGGCAGTCCCACAGCAACCACCCAGGTCTCATTCTGGACATCTCTCAGTAAGCACATGTGAAAGTCTCTAAACCAATATAGGTGTGAGAGCAAAGACCATGTACAAGACACTCAAGGACCTCCTTTGGCCAGAACCACTTCCAGTCAGCTGCCCCTGGGAAAGTACCCAACCCTTTTTATGCTGGTAAGGTAGTGCTAATCACTGAAATCACCTGGGGGGATGATGATTTACACTGGTTACCATTGCCTGTATGCCCACCTACATAGGAGGTTGAGGCAGAAGGATTTGGACAAGTTGAATTCCAAGCTGTCTCAAAAAAGGGGAGGGTATCAAGGCCAGCCTGGTCTACATAGTGAGACCCTGTTTCAAAAAAGGAGGTGGGCGGGTGCTCTCTAGACCCTTTGAAGCGTGGTCTCTGCTCACCCTTCACTGTCCTCTTTCTCCATAGAAGCTGAGCTCTTCAGGAAAATTCGCATCCAGATAAGGGCCCTAGACATGCTCCAGATGGCCTCCTCCCCTATCAGCTCCTCCAGTAGCCGGGCTCCCCGCACAGCCACCCGAACCCAGGAGGAAAAACTCAGCTTTCTACAGACTGACTTTGGATTTCAGCCTCGGGTGAACTCTGTGGTCCCTGACTATGAGGGCCTTTACAAGGCCTTCCAGAGAAGAGCCGCCAAAAGAAGGGAGACCCGAGAGATGACTCGAAACAAGCCTTTCTTGTTGAGGACTGCCAACCTGTGTCATACTCCACGGTCCTGTGATGCTGTCACCACTGAGGGGAGAAGGGTGAGAACACAGGCAGGGGAAGGGTCAGAGCCTGAGGTCTGAAATACAGAGTGGGCCTAAGTCTTCAAGGAAAGAAGTTGTCTCAACATTGTTCTGTCTTAATTTTTATTTTTTTTAAAATTAAGCTCAGTTGCAAGCATTTATTTATTACACATTCCTGTAATTTAACATAAGAGCATTCCCTTTCATTCCTCTCTAGAGGGATGTTACAAAAGTAAGTCCAAGCAGGTCTGAGACAGGGAATGGTATCAATTGCTTGTATCCCTTTAGCATGTTGTCTTATTTTTGTTGTTGTTGCTGCTGTGATAAAATACCTTGACAAAAGCAACATAGGGAAGAAAGGGTTTAATTTTATCCCTAACTCCAGGTTACAGTCCATCCTAGCTGGGAAGTGAAAGCAGCAGGAACTTGAAGCCGGTCACATCCACAGTCAAAGTAGAAAGTGGATGCATATGTGACTATGCTCAGGTTTCTTTCAACACAGGCTTACCAAATCTAGACAGTCCTTCACTGAAATTCTTCCCAGGTGATTCTGGATGGTTAAGTTGACAAAACTAGCCATCACACAGCTCCAAAGAACTCCTCTCCCTTGATTAAAAACTAAGATTGATATCTAAGTGTGGGCCTGGTAACTAAGCTTGAGATCTCATTCTCCTTGTCTTATTCACAAGGAAAAAATACTCAGTTTTAGTTCAGTTAATTTGAGTCCTAATTAGGATGGGAACTAATCACATGCTATCCCACCAATACCAGCCTTCCTTTCTTATAGAAGTCCCCTCAGCCAGCACGGACACCCCTGACAAAGAGTCGTTCTCTGAGTGGCCTTGCATCACTTTCTGCCAACACCCTCCCTGTGCACATCACTGATGCTACCAGGAAGAGGGAATCTGCAGTCAAGTGAGTGAGCAGGCCATACCAGACTTGGGACGTTCTGGTCTTGGCCCAAATGCTGGAATCCACCCTGATGCTGAGCTACCTCTGCAGTTATCAGAGATACCTCAAGGGGGCAAAGTTCTCTGATCAGGGAAGGAATAAATCCATGAAGATTATCCAGCAAATCCTCATGGGGGCTTAGTCTGTGCAAGGCACAGTGTTAAGGCCAGAGATGCCTTAGGGAACCTACAGTGTATATCTAGTCTAAAATACAGAAGAACTAAGAAATGATTATTGTTTTATTTTTATGAGCAGTACAAGTTAGAGGACTATGAGGACACCAGGCAGCCTGGGGCAGTGGTCTCATGTCTTTTGGAACACATGTCTAAGGTGAAACATAAAAAATAAGGAGGGGCTGGAGGATGGTTCAGGTGATAAAGCACTTGCTGTGCAAACATCAGGACCTGAGTTTAGATCTCTAACAGCCAAGTAAAAGCTAGGTGTAGCAGTGTGTCTACAATTCTGGCACTTGCTGGGAGTTTGGGGTGGGGGGATAAGAGGAAGATAGGCAGATCATCCAGACTGACCATCCAGTCTAGCCAATAGATGATCTCTAAATTCACCAAAAGGGCTATCAGAAAATAAAATGGGGTCAGGAAGATGGCTCAGTGGTTGTAAAGACACTTGCTTGACCTGAGTTTGATTCCCCCGGATCCACATGGTAGAAGAGAAGTGACTCCTGCAAGTTACCCTCTGACCTCCACACACATGCCTGGCACATGCATCCCCCTACACACAGAGTATGTTAGACAAAGGCTACAGAGACGTTTCCAGAAAAAGAGAATGTATAAAAGCCTGTGAGACTAGGTAGTATTCATTACTGTCCAGCCTGCTGCTCTTCCAGTAAGTTCATTCAATGAACTTTTCTAAAAACAAAGCCTATATATGAAGGGTGGCCATGAGGAATGAAAATTCAGAAAATCAAGTAGTGTGGTAGCAGGCAGCAGAACTTACCACACTCAAGATGTGACATCCACTGCCCAGATTTGAGACACCCTAAGGTTCATCTTGGGGAATGTCAGAGTTAGCTGGGAAACAGGATCCTGTTTTCCTCCCCTTCACTCTCCCTTCGTATTCCCTCCACTTTTCCCTCATTGCTGGGGATCAAACACTGGGTCTTGTGCAAGCTAAGTGAGTACTCCTCCACTGAGTTACACTCCAAGCCTTTTTTCCTTCTTTTTTTTGGTCTTTTTGAGACAGTGTCTCCCTGTAGTTTCAGCTGGCCTGAAACTTGTTATGTAGACCAGGCTGGCCTTGAACTCACAGAGATCTGCCTGCCTCTGCCTCCCAAGTGCTGGGATTAAAGGCATACACCACCACACCTGACAAGCCTTAATTATTTCTTAAGAAAAACGTTAACTTACATCTTAAAAAGCTGGCCTGGAACTCACTATGTAGACCAGGCTGGACTTGAACTCACAGATCCACCTGCCTCTGCCTCCCAAGTGCTGGGACTACAGGCATGCACCACCATGCCTGACTTGAGCCTTATTTTCTTTAACAATTCACCTGACCTGTGGTACTGTTCTCATTGGCTCAGCAGGAGTTCCTCTACCAAGGCCTCTGAACTGTATCTGAGCCTAGGAACGGACTAACACTGTTGTGCCTCCTGTAGGGTTCCCAGGGCGTAGCAGGACCACACTTGGCTTTCTCAGACCTTCCAGGAAAAGTATATTTACGATCCAGAGATAATCTGTTCTTCATATTCCACAGAATTACTAAACCTAGGTTAAATGCATTAAAATCCCAAGGTCCAGTAGGAAGCCTCACTAATGAGACACAAGCCCACCTACAGAGGACATTGCATCTGCTTTCCGAGAGTAGGGAATTTGACATTTTAGAAGATTAAGCTTTCATGGCCTTCTTCCTGATATATTTGAATGTATACATTAAATGCAAGAGCCTTGATTGTTTTCCCTTTTGGTAGAACTTACCATAGAATCCTGTAGAATATTTACACAAATGGCTACAAGTTCAACTCAAATTGTCTACATTGAAGGAAGTCTGTTTCCAGTTCTTATGAAAATGGAAATTTGTACTCTCAAAGAACTGTGAACTTAAGTCACATCCTGACTACTGTTTATAGCACAGTGGTCAAGGGTAGAGGCTCAGGAATCAGGGATCCTGTTTCTAATTTTGGCTTTTCCATTAATTACTGGGTAGCTTTGAACAAAAGGCTTACCCTTTCTGACTCTGTCTCTTCCCATGTGAAGAAGGGGCTGGAGAGACGGCTCAGCAGTTAAGAGCACTATCTGTTCTGGCTGTTTACAGAAGACCTAGGTTTGGTTCCCTGCACCCACATGGCTGTTAACAACCATCCATAACTTCAGTTCTAGGGGATCTGTCACCATCTTCTGGTATTGTGGGCATTGCATGCATGGGTATACTTACACATTTTCATACACATAAAAATTTTTAAATACAATAAAGTTAAAAAAAATACCAACTGGCTTTCCAGAGGAATTATGAAGATTTATATGTGCCCAGGTAATTTGTGCTGGTATTTGTGCTCTTTCCATTTTAGAACATCACTTGAAAAAAAGAACAAATCAGATGGCAGTATTCAGTGGTTGGAGACACACAAAAAGAATTGCCAAGCCATGTCTAAATCAGTGACCTTGCGTGCAAAAGCCATGGATCCCCATCAAAGCCTGGAGGAGGTGTTCAAAGCAAAGCTCAAAGAGAACCGGTCAGTGTCCTGCATGCATCAAAGGTGTGCCTCTTTTCGGTTCCAATACAGCACTGGCTTTGAAATGGCAAAATGAGTCTTTAGGGTAAGCTTCTGTAATCACAGGAGTCAAAGATTTTCGCAGGCAGTTAGGAATTTACAATGAGCATGGGAGCTACTTTGCTTTACTGGAACAAAGAGTATTCTGGATTGGAAAAGATGGGATTCTTCCTAGAAATCTTGTTAATTACAGGAACACTGACCGTAAAAGAGCAAAAGAGTATAAGAAAGAATTGGAAGAAATGAAGAAAAGAATACAAACGAGGCCCTATCTCTTTGAACAGGTTACCAAGGTAAAATCAAACTGTCTCATTTTTATTCTGCTTTGGGCCACAGGGCTTTTAGAAATTATGATTTTACTGTGTGAGTATTAAAGACTTCCTTAAGACTCAGATATTCTAAGTTAAGCTGTGATTTTTTTTTTAATTTTTAAAATTTTTTTGTCTTTTTGAGACAAGCTCTCCCTGTTGCCCCAGCTGGTCTGGAACTTGCTATGTAGACCAGCCTGGCCTGGAACTCACAGAGATCATCTACCTCTAGCTCCCAAATGCTGGGATTAAAGGCGTGCATCACGAAGCCTGGCAAAGCTCTGTGACTTTTAATCTTGTCAATTTGATTGTTTGTACATTTATGTACACTTTTAGGTGTTATTTGTGAGGGTGTTTCCAGAGAGGATTAACTTGGGCAGGAAAACCCACCCTGAATGTGGGCAGCATGGTATCAGAGGCTGGGGGCTCCCCAATGGGATAATAGGGTAAATGGAGCATGCCTGCTATCTAACAGGCACAGGAATGTTTTCTCTGCTTCTTGGCTACCATGGCATGAGCAGCCTCTGCACATGCTCCTGCCTCCGTATGTTCAGCCTTGGGCCCAAAGTGACAGGACCAAGGAACCATGGACTCTGAGACCATAAGCCAAAATATTTTTTCTTTTCACTTTTTTTTCTTTGTCTTTTTGAGACATCCTTTCACTTTTTAAAAATATGAAGATATTTGAGCCGGGTGTGGTGGTGTACACCTTTAATCCCAGCACTCGGGAGGCAGAGGCAGGTAGATCTCTATGAGTTCAAGGCCAGCTGGGGTTACAGGGAGCCCCTGACTCAAAAAGACCAAAAAAAAAAAAAAATTGAGACAGTGTGTAGCCCACACTGACCTGCAACTCACTGAGCCCAGGCTGGCCTTGAACCTACCATCCTCCTGTTTCAACCTCCCCCATGCTAGGATGATAGGCATGCAGTACCACACCCTGTTTGTTAAAGGGTTCTTTAGTTTTTTTTTTTTTTAAAAAAAGAAGACATTTTTATTTTAATGTTACATGTTTGTCTGCATGTATGTATGTGTACCACATGCATACCTGGTGTGCTCAAAGGCCAAAACTGGAATTACAGAAGGTTGTAAGCTACCATATGGGTGCTGGGAACCAAATCCAGGTCTTTTTTTTTTTTTTTTTTTTTTTTTTAATGTGTCTGAGTGTTTTACCTGCATTTATGTAAGTGTACCTGTGTCATGCAGTCCCCACGGAGGCCAGAAGAGGGTGGTTGCTAAGCTGCCATGTGGGTGTTGGGAACCAAACCTGGGTCTTCTGTAAGAACAGCCAGTGCTCTTAACCACTGAGCCATCTTTCCTGCCCAAATCTAATTTCTTGCTTTGCAAGAATATGGCTCTCAAATTAACAACTGTTATCTCCTGGAAGTGGTAAAAATAGAGAGTTGTAGGCCCCATCTGAGATCTACCAATTAAAAACCTGCATTTGAACAAGATCCTCAGGGGACTCATTTGCAAACTAAGGCACAAAAACAAGGCTGTAAATAGTTTCATGACAATTTTTGTCTGTCACTAAAGGTGGAGATGGTAGAAAGGGTAGTATTGTACAGATAGTGATTATACAGGTAATTTAGATCATCTTAACTCAAGGGACAGCAACAGTAAACCTTCTTCTGTTCCAAAGGACCTTGCTAGGAAAGAAGCAGAACAACGGTATCGAGATGCCCTGAAGCAGGCTGGACTGGAGGAAGACTTTGTGACAAACCAGAGTCAAAGCACACAGGCAGTACCCTGGAAGAAGGCCAAAGTCAAGAATTCTCGGTAATCTGAGATGCTGATCATTCTGTAGATCTAACTTGTCATCCCCAGTGAAGCCACTGGGAGGAAACTTTAGCTCCTCATTTTGAGGTCACAATCCTGTATTTCCCTAACTCATTCTAAGACCTCCAAGCAACACTTGAATTTGAATTTAGAATAGTTGTGAATAAAATCTTGCCATTGTATCCTGAGTTTGAATTCCTTCACTTTGAAATGAATCATTTTCCAATTCCAGTTCTAATGACACGAATCAAAAGTTATTTCTACTTTCAGCGGGGCATGGTGGTGCATGCCTTTAGACCCAGCACTTGGGAGGCAGAGGCAGGCAGATCTTTGTGAGTTCCAGGCCAGCCTGGTCTACATAGTGAGTTCCAGGACAGTTGGGACTACAGAGAGACCCTGTCTCAAAAAGACCAAAAAAAAAAAAAAATTATTTCTACTTTAAGGCTGGACGTGGTGGCACACACCTCTAATCCCAGCACTAGGGAGGCAGAGGCAGGCGATCTCTGTGAGATCAAGGCTAGCCTGATCTACATAGTGAGTTCCAGGCCAGCTGTGTCTCAAAAAACTAAAAGAACAACAAACATATTTCCACTTTAGAAGAAAAAAATCATTTATACTTCTTGTGAAATGATGGGAGTGCTTACAGGTGACTCCTTAGCACCACCTCTTTCATTACTGATGATCATAAGTCAAAAAGCATAATTACCATTCTTAATTTTGTTTTAGGTCTGCCCTACTTCCTGTTTTTCCCCTTTAAAATACCCGTTTCTACTCCCATATAAAATAACGGAAATGTTGAGACCATTCTTAAACCTTACACAATATTCTTTTTAATTTAAAATGTTCTGTTTTGCAGCATCCATGAAACTACAAAACACAGCATCAGAGATCTACAGCAGGATTTAGAGGAATCTCTAGAACAGCCTGCTAACCCCAAGAAAGAACTGGAGGAGCTCTAGTATGAACCACCAATTTCAAATCATTTGTTTAAGCAGTTCACTTAATATTACTACATTTGAATGTCAAGCAGCTAACTAGGGGTTGAGTAAAAGCAGGCAAAACTTGGGTTTTGAGTCATGGCTACTATAAAAGAATGGGAAAAAGTAACAGATAACAGAAATGGTTTAAGGGAATCAGAATAAAGAAGTTCAGGGGTCACAGCCCAGAGTTAAGAGTTCTTGCTTTGTGCGTGACACTTTAGGTGTAGAAAACAAGGTCCAAGCTTAAGTCCCTATCAGGGCTAGTTAGGAAATGTGAGTCAGAGGGGTAAATATAAGATGGTAAGCCTGGAAAGAGACCCAGAATTGCCAGACCAACCCCATCTTTATCAGAAGCCAGAAATATGCATGCTGGCAACTAAACATTTAGGGTTATTGTGTGGAAGAAATAAAACATGTTTATCAGATTTCCTCCACGGGGAGGACACATTTGTAACCTTCAGCACAGGCCTTATCATCATCAGCATTTGATACACTGGGACAGGTCATTTTTCCTATGAACCCAGGTCTCCATAGTACAAGATAGTTGTGCATGTCAGTAGCAAATGAAGAACTAAAATTATTTAAAACAGGAGTTATTTTCTGTCATGTTAATAACATACCACTATTTGCATGTATGTGTCAGCATGGCATGGAGATCACTTTAAATAAAGCTCGCTCATAAGACTATGATTTTCTGTTAGTATGGGATCTTTGGCATGTTTTTCTTGTGTTATAGGCAGGATGATAACAAGACTACCCACTCTAATAGGAGCCCATTCTCATGTTTAACCATTTTTCTGGGAAAAACTCAAAACTATCTGTTATTACTGTCATTTTCCAGCCATGGATTTTTTTTTGTTTGTTTGTTTGTTTGTTTTTTGGTCTTTTTGAAACAGGGTCTCCTTATAGCCCCAGCTGGTCTCAAACTCAGAGATCCACCTACCTCTGCCTCCCAAGTGCTGGGACTACAGGCATGCGCCACCACGCCTGTCAGCCATGGTTTTTACTGATGATGTGATACTCACAGCCATCTAGGTTTGCCACTGCAAAATGAAAAATGTCATGTTTTCTAAGGCTCCTCAATTCAAGTTTATCTGCATGGATTCCTAAGGGTAAATCAATACCCTATCTTATTTTTGTTTTTAAGACTTATTTTTCAAATTATGTATGTGAGGAGTATGTGCACACATGACTGCAGGTATCCATGGAGGTCAGAAGAGGACATCACATCCCCTGAAGCTGGAGTTACAACCAGTTGTGAGCCTGGGTGCTGGAAAATGGTCCTCTAAAAGAGCAGTAAGTGCTCTTAACAGGTGAACCATCTCTCTAGCCCCCTGAATTTTCTTTTTTTTTTCTTTTTCCTTTCTTGGTCTTTTTGAGACAGGGTCTCCCTCTAACCCCAGCTGACCTGGAACTCACTGTGTAGACCAGGCTGGCCTTGAACTCGGATAGATCCACCTGCCTCCTAAGGGCTGAGATTAAAGGCGTGTGCCACAACTGAATTATTTTCTTATCCCCTTCTCTAAAATATAAGACTGTATAAAACAAGAGCCAAAGAACTGAGTTATTTTATTTAAAAGGAAAACTGAAGTGCTAGATTCTGTGATTTTTAACTTAAAAAAAAAAAAAAACCAACACAACCAAAAAAACAAAACAAAACAAAACAAAAAACCCTCTTAACATGCTGCTTTAAATCTCATAGACAAAGAAAGCCAAGTGACCAAGTAGAGGTGTATAGGACAAGATGGTACCTCAGACTAGGTCAAGGGGGGATTCAAGTAATTTATTTTTACAGCCCAATGGCTGAGAGTTTCTTACTCAGGTTGCTAAAGGGAGAATGCCACAACATAACTGACATCACTCCCTTCTTCAAAGCAACAAGGCATCTTGAAAACTCAACTTCCTGGTGAACTTCTGTGGTTAGAGGCAGGGTATCGTTCATCATGTGAAAATAGCTGGGTATGGGATGAAAACTCTTCAAAGGAAAAGCTTCCCTCAATAGTCATGAAAATCTTTAGCCAACACACCATCAAACTTGCATTTGGAAGTATATCCCAAACTTTACAGTGAGGAGAGGCAGCTATAGGTATTCAGGCCACAGTCACTGCTTTACTTCTTGTCTGGATCAGATAGAGGCTGAAGAAAAGCTCTTATACATCCCTCTTCTCTGCCAGGGAAGATGAATAGAGGCAAAGGCAGGATCTTGTCCACAGATTCATTTTGGTTCTGGCAGGTTCTAAGCCTTTTGGATCCTGCTTCCATTATGTACTCTGGGATCAGACAGAACTCCTCCAGGAGTCAGTACCCACGCTCATGTCCGTCTTTCAGTTAAATCTCCTTGGTTTAATAACTATAAAATTGAAAACAAATATAGACTAGGTTACAGATGAGTTACAGAAAAAAAATTCGTATTAAGTGAAAGGATTGAGTGAAGGCTGGGGAGTGCACTGAGAGATGGGAGTCAAGGATATCTAGTTAAGACATGAGTAACTGATAGATCTTATTTATACACTGGTCTTGAACAGCAGTTGATGTAGTCATGATAACTATGAAATAACCTGATTCTACAAGGTCAGCTACTGTGTAATTAATCACCAGTCCATGATGGAAGAATCTACAACACACAGGAAGATCAGAAGTAGAACCAAAACTGTTCTAAGTCAGTGTCAACCGGGTCTTAAACAGAAGTAAACAGGGCCTGAGAGCTAGAACCCACTAGAGATTCAGGAGTCTCTATTGAGCTTAAAAGAACATCTTTCTGCCAGGCATGGTGGCACACACCTTTAATCCTAGCACTTGGGAGGCAGAGGCAGGAGGATCTTTGTGCGTTTGAGGCCAGCCTGGTCTACATATGAGTTCCAGGACAGCGGGGAAACCCTGTCTCAAAAAGACCCCCCACAAAAAACACCACCTTTCCTGTGAAGGGAGATATGCCTGAGACTCCTGTAGACTAGAAGCAAACACTAAAATTCTCCATACTATTTGAAGGTTTTGAATATTTTTTGTCTTTTTGGTCTTTAAGACAGGGTCCCCCTGTAGCCCCAGCTGGCCTGGAACTTGCTATATAGACCAGGCTGGCTTTGAACTCTCGGAGATCCGCCTGTCTCTGCCTCCTGAGTGCTGGGACTAAAAGTGTGCATCACTGTGCCCTGCCTTGAATAATAATTGATGAAATCAGTTTCTGTCTTTGCTATGTATGTGTGTATGTGTGTAGGTCAGGACACAGTCCACTTTTTTTTTTGAGACGGTCTCTTGCTGACCTGAAACCTGTAGATTCTGGTTACACTAGCTGGCTAATGTGTACCATGGATTCCATCTTTACCTCCCCAGCTTCTTTGTCTAGCCTGGAACTTATATCACTCTGCAGTTCCAGCTGGCCTGGAACTCACTAAGTAGGCCAGGCTGGCCTTTACATGCATTCTAGGGATCCGATTCAGGTCATGTCTGATAAGTACTTGATCAAATAAGCCATCTCCTGAGTCTCAGCAGTTTTATTATAAACAGAAATGAGATGGAAGCAATTCAGGGAAATTCAGAATAAAAACTGTGGTTGCTGAAACCTAAGATGAGTTCCTTTGAGATATATTTGCCTGGCAATCTTAATTTGGTTGAAGGTAATTTATACAGCAGAATTTAATGATAAAATTTACCTAAAGAAATGTAAGTAATGCTGGATATGGTTGGTGTATGCCTATAATTCCAGCATTTGGGAGGCTAAGACAGGAAGATTGCCACAGGGCCTATATAGTGAGAACCTATTTAAAAAATACCAAATTGGGAGGGGGGGGGGTTGGAAGAAGCAAGAAGCTGGGCATGGTAGAACATGCTTTTAGTCCCAGCACTCAGGAGGAAGAGGCAAGTGTATCTCCATGATTTCAAGGCCAGCCTGGTAGACATAGTAAGTGCCTGGCCTGTCAGGACTACATAGTGACTGTGGATAGTCAGAAACAGAGAGACAAAGAGATACAGAGAAAGAGATTGAGGGATTGATTTAGAAACTTAACCACAGATTTCATTTGATGTTGATTCTGTGTGGTAGGAATATAAGAATGGTCTATCTGGTGGGTTGAGGTAAAACTCAGTGGTAGAACACTTGTTTAGGATTTGATCATCTAGGATCCTTACCCCCAAAGTGTGTAAATGCTCATAAACCCAGATGTTTACACTTAAGCTTATCAATAAAATTTAATGAGAAATGTTATAAAATTCATAATTTTTCTCCTTTATTTGGAAAATACTTGTTTGTGGTAGAGCCTTATGTAGCCCAAGCTGGCCTTGAAATCTTGAAATCCCTACAAAGACCAAGGCTGGTTTTGAACAACAAAAAAATTTAATGTGTGTGTGTGGGGGGGAGCATGCATGCAATGGTACATGTGTGGAGGTCATAGGACAACTTGTAGGGGTCAGTTCTCACCTACTATGGGTCCCAGGGATCGAACTCAGGTTGTCAGGCTTGATGGCAAGTGCCTTTATATCCACTGAGCCATCATGTCAGCCCTGGCTTTGAACTTATAATATTTATTTTTATTCATTTGTGTGTTGTCGGGGAGATGCATGGGTGCCTGTGGAGGCCAGAAGAGGACATCAGATCCTATGGAGATGGACTTTCAGGCATTGTGAGCTCCTGTATTGGGTTCTGGGAACTGAACTCAGGTCCTCTGGAAGAGCAAGAAGCATTCTTAACCACTGAACCATCTCTCTTCTGCCTTGGCTTTGAACTTTGGAGTCTCCTGTTTCACCTTCCCAAGTCCATTGGAATTACAAGCATGTTCCAACAAGCCCAACTTTTACTGTAAAGCTCTCTCCTTTTTTAGACTTTATAATGTACAAGGGTATGTATCTGTATGTGGGTATATCTACTTGCATGCAGGTGCCTACAGAGGCCAGGGGCCAGAGGCATTGGATCCCCCTGGCACTGGAGTTACAGCCTGTTGTGAGCTGCCCAATGTGGGTACTGGGAACTGAGCCATGTCACCTGCAAGACCAGTACTCTTCACCACTAAACCACCTCTCCAGCCCTTTTTCTTTCCTTTCCCTCTTCCCCCTTCCCTCGTCTTTTCTTTCTGTATATTATTATTGTGTGTATGGTGGCTGGGGTTCTGCATGCACGCCATGACAAACATGTGGAGCTGGTTTTCTCTTTCCACTTTTATATAGGTTGTCAGGCTTGCTTGGCAAATACTGAGGGAAATACGGAAATATTTTAATCTGAACCAAAGTTAACTCATAACTTTTAATATGTTTTCCACAAACATTTCTGTTTTTTCTTTTTTGTTGTTACTGGCAGAATTTAGGACCACAGGCTGTTGGACTAAGTGAGTTTCTCACAGGCTATGAGACGGAGACCTGCTTTGATTGCCATGAAGTGTCACAAGACAGAGCATGGTAGCTGGCTCCCATCAGAGAGCAAGAGAAAGGAAGCGAGGAAATAGGTTATGCATCAGGATCTATTTTGTAGCATAATCTTGGAAGTGACAGACTGATATTTTGGCTATATTCTGTTTATTTAAAAGAAAATCAGAGGCCAGGCATGGTGGTGCATACTTTTAATCCCAACACATGGGAGGCAGAAGCAGGCAGATCTCTGTGAGTTCAAGGCCAGCCTGGTCTACATCTGAGTTCCAGGCCAGCTGGAGTTACAGGGAGACCCTGTCTCAAAAGACCAAAAAAGAAAAAAAGAACAAAAAGAAAATCAGCACTGGCTGCTTTTGGCAGAGGATTGGGATTTAGGTCTCAGCATTCATATAGCAGGGAACAACCATTGGTAAAACTCCAGCTCCAGGTGATTTGATGCCCTATTCTAGCCTCCATGGGCACCAGGCACATATGTGGTGCACTTATATACACGGAAAGATTTAATGTAAATTTTTTTAAAAAGAAAAAAAAAAAATCAAGGGTGGAGCATTACGTAAAAGCATGATTACTGAGACAGGCATCCTGTACTACTGGTCTAGAACTCACTGGGCAGACCTGGCAATCCTCATGGTGGTCCTCCTCAGTGCCAGCACATCTGGCCCCAGGATCATTTCTGATACTTGAGGTGGTTCTCTGATATTCTTGTTATTATTTTTAGTGCATATTCACAGGAGTCCCGTTGGAAGTTCATCAGAAGATTCTTCTGTGTCTCTCTCCAATGCATGATGATAACCAAAAACAAGTTAGAAAGGACATGTGTTGTTTTAAGGGTTGTAACTAGCCTTCACTTTCTTTGGCATCTCAACTACACTTCCAAGCGCAAGAGAATTCTAAAGGGATCAATATACTTCAATCACCAAATGAAAAGCCAGTTAGAACCTAGACCCTGGATTAGGAAAAGGACTAAGCTTGAACCTTGAAGGACTTGTAGCTCAAAACAAATGAAGATATTAGAGGATGTTGTATGTCTCCCTAGAAGAAAAAGAGAGGCTCACCACACAATGGAAATACTTGTGGTAAGAGGAAGACAATAATGTACGAGAGATGTGACAAAGACATGATATAGGCTCATAGGGGGTATATATTTGGAAGCACCTTAAGACCCATGAGATACAAACAGTAGCACAGAGTTTTCAGCAACATAAAGGGCAGCACTTGCCACTTTGTGTCATTTTTTTTCTATTAAGTTTGGTGCTTTCATTATTAAGAAATTAAATACTTATTAGAACTTTTAGGCCCTAAATGACTTCCTGCTGTCCTGCTTGAAACCATGCAGTGGCTCTCTGCTACCCCTATGGTAAATTTAAGTCCTGTGAAATCTTTCAAGAGACGGACCAGATCATCTTTCCATTCTATCTGACCTTTCCCTTCCATTTCTACTCTGCTCACTGTCTTTCTTTAGCTACACCCCCCAACCTTCTGCCTTCTACATATTGCTTCCCTTGTGCCTGTTATTTTCTTCCAACATTTCCTAGACTGGCATGCACTACACTGCTGAAAACGGCCACTTAAAAAAAAAAAAAAAAAGCTGGGCATGTTGGGCGTGGTGGCGCATGCCTTTAATCCCACTACTCAGGAGGTAGAGGCAGGTGGATCTCTGTGAGTTTGAAACCAGCCTGGTCTACAAAGTATCAGGCCAGCTGAAGCTACAAGGAGCCCTGTCTCAAAAAGACCATAAATAAAATAGCCACTTTACTGATCAGTCAGTCCTTGTTTCTAACCTTTCTGTACAACTCCAAGGACATAATTTACAAGGTTACGGAGTTATAAAAAGTAGAGGTTCGGGGGCTGGAGACACTGTTCAGCAGGTAAGAAGAGTACCTGCTTCTCTCTCAGAGAACCAGAGTTCAGTTCCTAGCACCTATATTGGGCAACTCACAATCACTTGTAACTCCAGTTCCAGGGGATCTGATGTCCTCTTCTAGCCTCCATGAA